ATTAGAGTCTGACTTGTTGTTTTAACAGATTCTGAGACACCATAATTACTTTTTAAAACAAAGTTTTTAAAAGAACCAATATTCATGAAAATACAACAGCTTTGTGTTTTTCTGTGAATACAATTACCTTAATTCTCTAACAACATCCCTTTTGCATTAATGAAAGCAAGGATTTCACTTACCAAATATAAAGTAGAAGTTCTTAGAAAAGACAAATCACTGTAGGTCCTTGAAACAAATAGCCCTCTAAAGCCAAAGACTTGGTAGGATCAAAGGAAAGCAAACCTGAACTCTTGAATTTTATTTTTTTAAAGATTTTATTTATTTATCTGAGATAGAGAATGAGTGGGGAGAGGACAGAGGGAGAGGGAGAAGCAGGCTCCGCCTTGAGCAGGGAGCCCAATGTAGGGTTGGATCCCAGGACCCTGGGATCATGACCTGAGCTGAAGGCAGATGCTTAACCCACTGAGCCACCCAAGTGCCCCCTGAACTCTTGAATTTTAGAGAAGAATTCTACTACAGAATCCAGTTGTTTCAGCCTTGAATTTTACGATTTCACTGAGGTTAATCAGAGATCACTTTTTTAAAGATTTTATTTATTTGAGAGAGAAAGCATGAGTGGGAGGGAGGGGCAGAGAAAGAGGGAGAAGCAGACTCCCCACTGAGCAGGGAGCGTAAGGGGACTTGATCCCAGGACCCTGAGATCATGACCTGAGCCAATCAGAAATTTTTAAGGAGGGGCACTTGGTGGCTCAGTTAGTTAGGTGCCCGCTCTGGGTTTCTGATCCAGTCATGATTTCAGGGTCAAGGGATGGAGCCCGGAGCTGGCTCTGTGCTCAGCAGGGAGTCTGCTTAAGGTTCTCTCCCTCTCCCTCTCCCTTTGCCCCTCCCCCACACTCACACACACTCACTCTCAAATAAAATCTTTTTTAAAAATCATTTTGAGGAGACTTAATGTTTATTTTCAAAAAAAAATTTCTCAATCCTATTTTTGATTTGATAGAACAAGGCACAATGTATGTTAGTCTGTTTAAATGTTATTATTTGTGATGACATTACCAAATAATTTTTTCTTTACTGTGAAATAAGTATTATTGCCATTTTACAGATGAAGAAATTATGGTTACAGACAGGTGAAATAACTTAGGGAGTCAGAAAGAATGGCGAGAGAACAAAGATGGGATTTAGAGACAAAATGACCAAGGTTTAAATATAGTACAGCCACCTACTAGCTTTGAGCAAGTTCCTTCATCCAAGCCTTTCATCTGTGAAATGAAGGTACTACCACCTACTTCTCAAATAGCTGATGTAAGGTATAAGCAAAACACCTAAACACCTCGCAGAAAGCATAGTAGAGTTGGCCATTCAAGAAACATCAGCTCTCCCACCCATCCACAATCTTACTTTCTTCAGCTGGTACAATGGATGTATAATGAATCCATATGCTGTTGTGAGTTTAGTGAGAAAATAGCACAGGCGGGGCACCTGGCAAGTACAGGGCTCAATACATTTGTTCTCTCCCCCAATATTCCCTCCCTTACCCTAGGTCCCACAGTTACTGAATGGCTGAGGCGCTATAGAACGGTTTCTGTACACAGGCATTTTACTTCTGGTAGTACCTCCTTTAACTGCAAAAACAAATTTAAGCTAGCTGCTTGGTCAGTTGTTATTTTAATGTGTTCCCAGTAAAATCAAATTCATTTCTGGGGCAGCTTTACTTTTCAGTAATCAGAAAAAAGTGATTAATATTTCTGACATGAAAATATGTATTTTTGGTACGTATTTCTACTGGCACTTCTGTAATATACATTCTTAATATTTTATAAACTATTATAACTCAAAAGATAGTTAAAAATCTATTACTTAGGATATTACATGTTTAAGGATTTAAATGATTCCATTTGATATACTGAGTTCAAAGATATTAGGTAGCCTTTTCATTTTTCCTATTTGCTCCCAAATAAAATAACAAAGTAGGGTAATAAATGTGGTAGATAAATGTAGATATTCATAAATGAAACAGATGTGTGAAAAATATGGACCAGATCTGCATTTATGAGGCAATGACCTTCAAAACTGGCAGGGAGCTGTTAACAATGTTCTTCACAGGGGAGCAATTATATTACAACCCTCCTATGTATACTTTCATTTCTCATGATCTACAAATACATTTGCATATCAGAAAGAATAAAAGAATAGTCTGGTAACTGTGGCAACCTTCATTGAGAGGATATAAGGCATTTTCCTTACCTTAATAATCACATTCTAAATGCCAGAGCAGTATAACTGGTGCAATATGAAAGACAAGACCAATACTTTGACAGAATTTCCTACAACTGAAATTTACTAAATGTGGTTATTATGGCTCTAACCCAGGGATACATTTCTGACTCTCTAATCTCCTAAGTGTTCTCTGATTATCTCAAGTACTGAAATCTTTCTAAAATATATACCTTACTTAAAGAAAAATATGGCAAACAGTACTTTAAGGAAAATGATTCCAAATTACCACCAAAAATTTTTAAAAATATACTGTACAGCAATTCCTAAAATGTTAGGAATATTGCTTTAACCTAGCAAGTAGCTCAAGTTTCTTTCCATACTGATTTAAAAGGCTCTGTCCAATGTTTGACAAATAAGCGCATGCACAAACACAAACACAAACACACACACTACAGAAATGTACAAGAGGGAGAAAGTTGCTAAGAAAAGCTCAATCTCTAAAAGCTCAAAAAAGCTATCTGCACAAAATATTAATTTCACATAAGATCCTTTTTTTTTTTAACCTTTCCTCACATTGGGTAAAAACAAAAGCAATCCACAGTAGTGATGCCAAAGACTGACAATATTACATAAACTTCAGAATTCCTGTTTTTTAATTTTCACTAAAGAATCACAATGCACTATCATTAACATGTCTAGACAGTGGACACTCACTACAGTATAGGCATGTTACACCAAGCTTATTTTTCTTATGTGGCCTAAATTTTTATAACACATTAAATTGTAATAATGTAAAATAAGACCAGCAGGAAAATAAACACAACCATAGCAAGATATAACAAGCATAAACCCAGGAAGTCCTGCTTGACTGAAAAATATTATTTTTCTCAATGGTAATAAAAATTACCCACAACTATAATACCAATCAACCAACTTCAGACGTTCCACCAACTGGGAAAAATAACTAGTTGTCTTATTGTGATACCTTAAAATCACAAGATTGCCACTAGCGGAGTGGTGATGTGAATTGCGTTTCATTTGTACTCTATACCTTGGCAAAAGTTAATGACCTGCCCCAGAAATTTTATTTCACCATATACCCCAAAGTATTTTTAGGACTCACAAAGTCTAAATCTCACACTGCCGTTGATATACTATCATGTAAATGCTTTAAATTTTAAAACGAAAGACTAAAAACTTTAAAAGCTATAGACAATGTATTCAAATGGTGAATATGTCAAGTCAATGCCTTCTCCTCCCCCACCGAAAAACAAAAAAGAACTGTACACGACACATAAAGATACAATAGAAACAAAAAGTAGCATGCCACTCATTCAGTAAGGAAATAATAACAGAACATCTATCATATTCAACTACAAAAATCCTTTCATTTGATGGCTAGCGTCTTTATGACTGCTTAATGTGTATTTAAGTGGCCTTAAAAAAGAGATTTTGTTCCCTTTCTCTGCCCTCCTGGATCTTTGGCAGCAGTCCGCACTTATACCCAGAGCTGGTTTGGGGAGTGGGAGAAAAGGGAAAGTGGAGAGAAGGCTGAAATGAGCACGGAGTCAGCAGAGGGCAGCCGCTCTCATCCACTACCCAGCGTCTTTCTCACACACCGCTGTTTTCCGCTATTGAGCATTGTCAGCAAAAAAATAAATGGGGGTGGGGGGACGGGAGACAAAGAGGGTAGGACCAGAGGCCGACAGTTTTTGTCTGCCACATCTGAGGCGAGAAGCCCCCTCTGGTTTCTTGCTGCAAAGGCAAGGGATCAGGTGAGACCCCTCCGGGTCCAACTCTATTTGCTTCTCCAGAAAGAGCAGTTTCCGGCAGCGAGCGCAGGATCCTTCGGGAGCTGAACTGAACACCGGAGCATTGTCAATGTTCCTATCTCTGACTTTACAGAGGAGGAGAGAGGACTGCGACTGCATTCCTGGGAAAGACTACTACTCCAGACGTGCCACACGGCAGTAGTGAAAAAACATAAGAGGTTGTAAAAATCCCTTCCAAAATACCAGGTTCTGAAGAAATGCTGCGAAGCATTAACGTATTGTTGGCGTTTTTTATAAGTCACCGATTCTTTCTCGCCACGGTCAACCCTCAAACCTCTGGTACTTGTTGCTAAATCTTTACCTCACGCCCCCCTCAAAACTGCCCAACACAATGAGATCTGGGGAGCGAAAGGCGGGAGGGGGGCCTAATCTCAGGAACCCAGAGGGCTGGTCTCCCTTCCATAGGCCACTCTGCATGGGCTGCGCGTTCACTTTTACCTTCTGAGAGCTCTGACTCACAAATGCCGGGGGGGGGAGGGGGGGGGCGGGTGATTATGACATACAGCATTATCTCCTAACCAAAGATAGATAAGAAACGCCGGCCAGCGGTCCTTGCCTGGCCAGAGAGCCAAAGCCTGCGCCCCCCGACGGGACGGCCGGGATAGGAGCCTCCCGCCCTGCCCGCCTCCCTCCGGACGCCCGCGGAAGATGCTCCCCACCCCGGCAGGCTCGAGGAGCCAGGATGGGGCGCCCTCACCCTGGGAGAGGGCAGGGAGCGAGCTGAGGGTCCGGGACGGAGGCACTCTCACCGCAGCTGCGCCGAGCGCCCGATACCCCGCCCCGGACCGGGTCTCGGGCGGAGGCGCTCTGCACCCGGGCCGGCCGCCGCAGCCAGGGACGGACAAAGCACTGGGGTCTGCAGCGACCCCGGGAGACGGCCGCGGGCCAAGTTAGCCAGACTCGGGGGCCGCGGGGGTCCCGCGGGCAGGGCGGCGCGGCACTGACCTGGATGGTGCAGGTGTACTCGCTGTCGTCCAGCAGCCGCACGGTGCAGCTGTACTCGCGCTCCAGGCTCCTGCTGCTGCCGCTCATCAACCTGCTCAGCATCTTCCCGCCCGCCCGCCCGCCGCCGGGAAAGACGCGGCGGCGCTGCGGACCCGGGACCAGGCGCCCCTCAGCCGGGCAGCTCCGCGCGGGCCCCGGGCACCTGCACCATCACCCCAGCCCGGTCGCGGCCGCTGCCTCCTGCTGGTCCAGCTCCTCCTTCTTCTCCTCCTCCTTCTCCGCCACCGCCTCCCCCCAGCCCAGAGCTAGCGCCCCGCTCTCTCTCCTCGGCGCCCTACTCCCCATGCCCAGCTCGTGGGGCGGGGCCTCGGCCGGAGAGGGGCCAATGGGGATCAGCGCGGCGGAACCGAGTGGCAGACGGTTGAGCCAGTAGAAATAGGGCACTGCGATGATGGACAGGTGATGAAAGCAATCACGGGAAAGCAGTCGTACAGAGCCTAGTGGGACCGGCCCTCTGGCGTCCCAAACGAGGGGCTCCTCTCCTCTCTGCGGTTCCTCTAGAAGCTGTTTCCCCTCCCCCGGGCCAGGTGTGGGCACCCGGCCAGATAAATGTCTGCTGCGTGGAATACGTTTAGACTCGGGCTTCAGGGGTCAAGTCCCACACTCTGCATCGCCGCGAGTCCCGCCCTCTCGGGAGCCGGGGCGGTGCGAGATAACAATCACCGCACCTGCAGAATGCAGGCACCTTCCGCTCGGGACCAGGCGGCTGCCCCCACCTGAGCTGTACCCCAAGTCGGCCCGACGGGCCTGTCTGCTCCAGCTCTCTTATTTCGGAGAACATCTGTTTTACAGGAGCTACTTAAGTAAAAGCTGTAGGATTCGCAAGGGTTTTTAAGCACCCGGGTTTAACCCCTAGGAAACCCTCCACTCTAACATCCTATGCCTCCCTTTTATTTTCAGAAGACAAAAGGAAGAGATTGAGGTGTGCTCCTTCAGCCGGTAGGGTGCAGAGGCAGTGATGGGTCCTTTCCTTGCTCCTTCAGAACTAGAATTACCATATCTTCAGACTTCCTCAACAAAACACCGGAGTATGTCAGGAGGTATATATCGCAAAGAAAAAAAAATTGTCTCTTGCCCTTCGTGACCCCACATTCTAAAGACCTCATGTTCTTTACGAAAACTTCACCAAGCATAATATTCTTCCTCAAAATTTTTTGATGGAAGGAAATGTTATATAAAAGAATCATATCAACACATTAATGCTGTAATAAGTGTATTAACTGAAAAATAATGAAATATGCATAATTTCGTATTTTCACTTATACTGGTCTTGTTTATAGGATAACAAACACATAACAAAAATGAAACCCTACATTAACTTAGAAAACATCTGACCTTTAAAGTAGGTCCCCGGGGCGGAGGGGGGGGGGGTCCTGGGCTGTCTCAGTCCATAGAACATGTGACCCTTGATGGGGGTGAGGGGGTCGTCAGCTTGAGCCCTACGTTGGGCTTAAAACCTACTTAAAAAAATAAAGTATGCTTCTTCCTTAGTGTCCTTGGATTCCAGTATTTCTCCCCAATTTTTTGCACGGGACCCTCCCCCTCTTCAGTAATCACCTCAGTAACCTGGATTGCTCTCCTTCTTAGTTGCAATCTCCTTTGTGGCATTCAGTAGTCATAAGAGGAGGTTTGACTTTTCAAGGTAATCCTGGAGGAGTTAAGAAACTAGAACAGTGAGTCAGATATTCTAGGCTTCAAACCAAATGTGAGTTCCTCTACTATGTAGCCCCAGTAGGCAGCCTGGGTGTGCAACATAGTAGGTATTCAATAAGTGTTTGTTACATGAAGTAAATTAGACAAATATTTTATAGTGTCTAAGTCCCAGAGAGATCTATGAAGAAACTAAGAATTTCAGGAAGGCCTTGGACACATGAAATTATTAATATGCCGAAGTGATATTCTACAAAGTTCAGCTTTGTTGTGTAGTTGGGAGAAGATAATGAAAGATTTCAGGCAAGCAGAACTTATGTTGAAGGCAAAAGTTGCTATTTGTTTACAGAATCCACAAGAGCAAGAAAAAGTGTCCAAGAAGCTAGAGGAAGCCCAGTAGTTTGACGGTAGGGAAATGTCTTTAACAGGTTATGCAAATAAGCAGCTGTTAGAATAAAAAGGCAAACACCATGAATCCAGAAAATCTCTAAGGAACTGAATGCAGTCTTTTTTTCAGAGTATGACCAGAGATGCAATCAACAGGGATGAGATTGTGGCTGTTATACCAACGTGTTAAGTAATATTCCAGTTCAACCTAAGAAAATCATGTCAAGGGTGCCTGGGTGGCTCAGTTGGTTAAGCGACTGCCTTCGGCTCAGGTCATGATCCTGTAGTCCCTGGATCGAATCCCGCATCGGGCTACCTGCTCAGCAGGGAGTCTGCTTCTCCCTCTGACCCTCCCCCCTCTCATGTGCTCTCTCTCAAATAAATAAATAAAATCTTAAAAAAAAGAAAAGAAAATCATGTCAACCTAGATGCTCACCACATTGAAAAACCAGTTAGATATTCACCCATGCTTATACATAGTATCCAGAAAGAGCTTCATACTCTCCTTTACTTGCTTAATCAGAACACTTTGTGAGGAAAACAGAGGATGGATGCATAATGGAAGAAAAGCACCTATCAGTTTCTGATTAAATGTACACCTATACGGAGATCAAGAGCAGAAGCCTGAGGGAAACTAAAAAGAAAAGACTCATATAAAATCAAACTGAGGAATATTTTGTTTTTCTTTGTTTTTCTCAAGTCTTTTGAGCAGGATGTCCAGTATAATAAGGCTTTGTTGAATAAAAGGCCTCATGTGCCCTTGTTAATCAGATATTCATGCTTTCATGAATTTTTTAGTATAAAGGAGGCCATATTTAAAACTCCAAACTACAATGACTGAGCTCCCACCTTCCAAATTATTAGGATATCAGCCCCCTTTAAAGTTTCTCTCCCTGGGGTGCCTGGGTGGCTCAGTCGGTTAAGTTGTGTAGTTGGGAGAAGATAATGAAAGATTTCAGGCAAGCAGAACTTGTAACTGAGCCTTCGGCTCAGGTTATGATCCCAGGGTCCCGGGATGGAGTCCCACATCAGGCTTTCTGCTCAGCCGGGAGCCTGCTTCTGCCTCTCCCTCTGCCCCACCCCCCACTTGTGATCTCTCTCTCTCTCTCTGTCAAATAAATAAAATCTTAAAAAAATAATAAAGTTTCTCTCCCTTCTTTCCTGTTGAGGAGTCCCTAGGGCAAATGCTATCACCAACATATGCCTGAAATAACTGAATTACTCCTGCCTCTACTTCCGATGTCCCATACCCTGATATTCTGGGACACTGATCTCTCTCCAGCCAATGCAACTTTCACCAATATCTTGGGACCTGGCAGGAAAAAGCATTGCCCTCTCTTCTCCAGGACATCACAAATGCAGGTTCTTCCCATCAAAGTCTCCTTACAGCACAACTAAGACCAGGGTTATATAACAATGTTAGAAAGGAAGAATAATCCAGAGTAACCTGCAGTTATGACATGGCTACTCTCAAAGCCCTCATGGGCTTTATTGTTGAGCTTGCAGCCAGGGTCCATGTGGTTGATGACAGCTTCCTTCTCCATCAAGAGTTCCCCCCACCATGCCTTGGGCATTTGGACTCAACCACAGAGAGAAGAAGCTCAGAGAAGAAAACAACTCTCCTTACCCAATTTAAAGTCCATTTTCAAAGTCCCATTTTCTGTCCAAGTTGCTGCCTTTCACTAGGATGACTAACCTGGGATTATCTACTCCTTTAGAGGAGACCCCACCTCCCATAGCCAGGGGTATGACCTTGACCTTTGACCCAACTGGGCCATTGCCTTAAGAGCATAACTGTCCAACATCAGCACATTTCTCACAAAGACTGAGTCATTCAGTCTTTACAGGTATGTCCAGGTAGAGCTTCACCAAAACCAGTCCAGCCCCTTTGCATAATTATTTCTCCAGTAAGTAGTAATGATCATGCCTGTCCTTGTTTGCCTATATCTTTTAGATCTCAGCTTTCGTACTCCCCAGAGCAAGGGCTCAAAGGAAGACATTCACATCTTCACAGAAACAATATATTGACACATATGTAGTCTTCATCTACAGAAAGAAAAGAAACAGTTTTCTCTTCTCTCATGCAGCAATGTCTGCGGAAGCAAAGCTCCAGCTCCACACACACACAGATTTGCATATCCAAATGGAGCACCCGGCTTCACAAACTAAAAGCATCTATACTCAAGTTATAGTTTTCCAAGAATAATAAACGTATACTTGCTTTAATAGGAGAGGTTAAACAATTTATGTAGTTTTTCCAAAGCAGTCTACCTCTGAAGAAATGTTCAAGTCTTTTTTTTTTTAATCAGGACAGAATTCACCTATGGTTTAACTGACAGCTTTTCCATCTTCTACCAACTCTTAGGATTTTCAGTTTAGCCCCATTATACTTAGAATAATTTTTTAATGTGTATTTTTATGTGGAAATATAAGTGCCTGTATTTTTTTATTCCAAACTACATTTATTGAGCATTTACTATGTGTTAGGCACATACTCTGTGTCAGCTTTCTAGAAAACATAAGACATAGCTGAAAGAATATGGGAAAATGAAATGTACAAACCAAGAAGTTCACAATCTAGGAGAGAGTTTTAGGTATATAAACAATTAGCTATCATACCATACATGGAGCATGAGCAAAGCACTACAAGAGAACAACAAATGGTAAATTATTTAAGCACGGGAGACAGCAAAGTCTTACAGAGAAAGCATTTGAGTTGGGTCCCTAGAAACGGACTAGTATGGTGATGGCTGCAGAGAGCAGAAGAGCAAGGTATGGGATGAGGAGTCACATTTTAAATAGAGGAAACAACATGTACAAAAGCATAGAAGCACAAATATGTATAGCATGTTTCAGAAATTGCAAGTACCCTTGGATGGATAGCATGTGGGATGCATTGGCTAGGAAAAAGTGGACTGAGGCCAGAACATCTAGGACCTTCCGTGCCATAGTTAGGAATTTGGACTCTGTTGTATAGACTGTGGGGGAGGGGGTGGCACTGCAGG